GTAAATTTGTCCTAAAAAGAGATGTATATATATGTTTTGACTACCACATCTCAGGAATATCAGTATTGTAAATTCTTGGGGTGTGACACATTCCATCCTGTATAGCAAAGTTGATCTCACAACTATCCTATGGAACTTGCCCTTCAACTTTATTAGTATGCGGCGATCATATAAAATTTCGGTTGCACATCTCTACTTCGCTCATTTAGCTCTAATTCTATGTACGACATATTTCTTAATCTCTTTATTTTCCTGGATTATCAACCCAATATATAAAAAATGTACTCTTTTGGGTATTTCTTAGTCCGCAATCTTAAATACTTCTTCGTCTCTACTTCTATTATTACTAAACTTGCATTCCATATACTTTGTTTTATTCCAGCTAATTTTAAAACCTTTAGTTTCTAAAGCATCATTCCAAAGTTCTAACTTTGATTGATGTCATTTCAGGTCTCATTGATAAAATTATGTCATCTGCGAATAACATGCGCCACGTACATCATTTTGTAGGTGTCTAGTTAAGTCGTCTATAACTAGGATAGAGAGGTATGGGCTCAAATGTTAACCCCCGGATGTAGACCTATTGTCACTAAAAACTCACTCGTTTTTCCACTAGTTGTTCGTGTACTAGTTAGCGCTCTAGCATATATATCTCTCACCAAGTCAATATAGTATCTAGAGACTCATCCAACATCCACCAAATCAAATCTTGAGGTACTCTATAATAAGCTTTCTCTACAATAAATATCACATGGAGGTCATTTTCCTGAACTTCTCAATCAATTGCATAAGTAGGAAAATAATCTTGGTTGTTGTCCTCTCTAGCATAAAACCGAATTGATTTTCTGATACACTTATTTCATGCATTAGTTGTGGCTCAATCAATCTCTCTCAAAGCTTCATAGTGTGGCTTATCATTTTGATCATTTGATAGTTCGCACAATTTTGTATGTCCCATTTGTTCTTGTAAATAGGTACCACAATATTTCTCATCTATTTGTCAAGCATTTTCTTTGTTCTTAACACCTTGTTGAACAGCTTGGTCAGCTAGTCAATGCCAATCTCCTTATGTACTTCCAAACCTCCATCGGGACACCATCGTTCTAACGTCGTTCCTATCTTCATTATTTTTAGGGCTCCTCACTTCCAATATCCTAATCTTATGAATATATCTATGACCTTTGCCCTCATTTATGCCAATGGTTCATTTTACCACTATATTCTCATTGTGTTCATCATTTAGTAACTTTTTAAAATAAAATTTTCATCTTTTGTTGACCTCTTCATCCTTCACTGAGACCATTTGATGTTCACTCATAATGCATTTAATATGGTCTGAATTCATGTTCTTTTTCTCTCTCAAACATCCACAACCCCATAACCTGTTGAAACCCCTCTCCCTCTACCACTACCCTCTCTCTCCCTATCTATACCTACCTCCCCAGTCACCCTTCTCTCTCTATTCAAGGAGAGAGAGCTTGAAGACTAGAGTAGGGAGAGTAATGAGGAAGGGGTAGAGAAAGATTATGTCTAGATAATGGAACAGAGAGTGGTGTCAAGAGGTGTGAGATGAGAGTTGTCACGAAAGGTGTGAGATGTGAACGACGGCAGGGGGAGAGATAAAGGTGTGGGCCTATATATATATAGGAAAATCTTTCTGTTAGCCGGTGGGCTAACAGAAAGATATGAGCCCAGCGGTCTAGATTGAATCAGAGCCGATTTGACGGTCAGGACTTCATTTCGTGTTTGAATTTTAATTTTTTTTTCTACAAATCTAAATCACTTGAAATTTTAAACGTGTGTTCTTCAAAAATAGGATATAATCAAATAAAAATATCAAAAAAATAGGAGAATATATATATAGACCTTTCCATATATATATGTGTGTGTGTGTGTGTGTGTGTGTGTGTGTGTGTGTGTGTGTGTGGGTGCGGTTTCTATACGGCTGCAACCTTAAACAATCCAATTAAGGTGCATCTCCAAATTTTATCATAACATGGAATTTTGTTGTAAAAAATTCTTAGGATTATCTTAAAATCTATTTTCATATCTAATTAGAAATTTTAAACTCCAAAAATAATTAAAATCAAGGAGATCTATAAAGATATCAAAACTTTGAAATAGACGGCCTAGATAATGTGTTGCAAGATGCACTATTTCTGAGACTCAAAAACTTTTTTTTTTATATATTCATACATCTCGATGTCGAGATGATCAAATAGAGGGTTTTTCTACATTAAAACAACCTTTCCGATAGATTTTTAAGGTGCATCTGTAATTCTACATTTTAAGGTTGTAACCTTATATAAATTTTTCCATATATATATATATATATCTGGAAAAGTCTTCTCAATGCCTTTAGATAAAAATGAACAGTGATTTCGCCTACTCTCATCACCGTTCAAAGTTTATCGCACGGTTACCATTGTCCGATAATGTTTCATTTTTCATTTTTTTTTCTACAAATCAGAATGACCTGAAAGTTTAAGCGTATATACATCTTAGTGAGGTGCACCTAATAAAAATATAAAAAAATAATTCGTGAAAATAAATTGATCAAAATACCCCTAAAACTTTTCAGGGGTATACCCCTAAAACTTTTCAGGGGTATTTTGGTCAAAGTTTTCATGTAAAATATTTGTTTCATATTTTTCGTAGATTCGCTTTTTTTTTATGAACATACGCTTCAAAATTTTAGGTCATTCCGATTTATAGAAAAAATAAAATAAAATAAAACACTACCAAACAATCGTGACTGTGCAATGAACTTTGGACGGTGATGAGAATAGATGAAATCATCATTTTGTAGTATCTTCCTCCCTCTCTTTATATATATATATAGAGAGAGAGGGGGCAATTGGTTGGGCAGCTAGAGATGGAGAGTGCTGAAAGTGGTGGAGAGAGGGGTTTCAACGGGGGATAGTTTTTGAACATGGGTTAAAGGCAAAAATAGAACATTACATATAAAAACTTAAAATTTTGGAAATGGACAGATTAAATACTGTGATATGGTTTTTCAACATCAAAACCATCTTTTAGAGTGGGTTTTTAATTAAGGTGTGCCAAACTTTTACAGTATAAAATTGACACCTTAAATAAAATTTTTCCTTAAATGTTGAGAGAAAAGGGGTAAGATGTGTGATGCAATAAATTCAAGAAGTCATGGGAATAGAGGGTGACATGAAGCTTGAAAGGGGTTGAGGTGTATAAGAAAGATATTGAACAGGGTTTCGAAAGTGAAAAGAGGTTTTGCATAGAGTTGTGAAGGACTGTAAGAAACATAGAGAAGCCTAAAATACATTTGGATAAAAGTTCTTTTTTTGCTCCAATTTTTTTAAGAAGAGAAGAAGACGAAGAATCTCTTGAAATGGTCATATATTTATGGTAATGGCTCGGTTTTGTCTAAAAGAAATAAGAATCTCTTGAAATGGTCGTATATACATGGCAATGGCTCTGTTTTGTATAAAACAATGAACACAATGATGACAACAACAACAAACTAATAAGTGTCAGCCCCTAGTATCTTCCAAATATCCACCTTCAAACCATGAACAATTGAATATGAATAGCTTTTATCCACAAAAGAAATGATATATCATTCTCCTTACAATAACTAGTGGACCATGGATCCATTTTCAAGAAGAAGAATCTCTTGAAATGGTCATATATTTATGGTAATGGCTCTGTTTTGTGTAAAAGAATGAACCCAATGACAACTACAACAACAACAAACTAAGAAGTGTCATAGCCCCTAGTATCTTCCAAATATCCACCTTCAAACCATGAACAATTGAATATGAATAGCTTTTATCCACAAACGAAATGATATATCATTCTCCTTAACAATAACTAGTGGAGCATTGATCGATTCTCACCAGAATTCATACTTCTTTCCAGCATTCCCAACGTATCTTCCCACTCATCCTTGCATCTTGTGTCCATCAACTGGGAGCCCCATTTCTCAATAACTGAAGGTATCCCTCTGGTGGCCGCAGCTATGCTTTCAGAGATATCAGCAAAACCTTCTTCTGGTTCCGCTGTCCCAAATACATGTTGACAAAACAGTAAGAGAGATTGTGCTTCCTCCAACTCCTGTACCACATAAATCTCATTCGCTTCTGTCAGCAATTCCTTCTTTCTAGAAGTGATTATCATCCTACTCCCAGGATGGAGACATTCTTGCTTGCAAGCCAAATCCTTGATTTGAATTCTACTCTCAACACCATCTAAAATCACTAACACTTTCTTATCTTTTATTCTCTCTCTGATCACTTTGACTCCTCTGCTTATGTTTCCCACCTGCATTTTCTCATTCTTTGTGATCTCGCGCAAAAGTTGGTTTTGCAGTTGGATTGTGGGTGTTGATTTCCTGATGTCTAGGATGATAGAAGTGGCGTCAAAAAAATGGGCGATGCGATTGTACACGGCCTTGACAATGGTGGTCTTCCCGATCCCCTCTGGCCCAAGGATCCCGACTATTCGTGCGCCAGTATCTTTTGATCTAAGCATTTTCACTATGTTCTCAGCTTGTGAATCTACTCCAACCGGGTATTCGGCCGCTAGGTAGGGTATGCGATTGAGCTCACCTTTGACCCTCTTGACAATCTTATTGATCAAGTCCGCTTCATTCCTAT